TGACAACTTGTACTTCTCATTGTTGCAACAGGTCCACCTGTATCCTTAAACGATTTGTTTTTCCCCATCTCCTCCACAAATTATACCGACATCAAATATAGTGAAAGCAGGGGTTATACTGTGGGGGAGGGACATTCAAAGCAACAAAGAAATAATCTTATAAATGCGTTAGAAACAAATGCATGAAAGAAAAAAAGATTAAAATACATATCTAAGGGTTCATTTTCCTAACATCACATTATCTGACCTTTTCTGCTTGATGGCTGATTGATTTTGTTGTTGTTGTTTTTTATGACATTGATCAAAGTTTTTGCATTTTTTGGTTTTTTTTTTTGACTAAAATTACTGAATTTAATCTGCAGGCCCTTTTGGACATTCTGTATGTAAAATAGGTTCTCCTGCAGTAGTATTTCCCACTGCCAGCCTCCCTTCTGCTTTACCACCCACTCTGCTCTCCAGCCAGCTCTCCCCTGTAGCACTTAGTCTGTTCCACAGCCCTCTTCTGTGTTCCTCTACCTAGAACAGCTGCCTCAGTGACTTTCACCTTCTGGTGGTGAAGGATCAGTTATATTTTCTCTTGTTTATTTCTGTTCCTTTCATGGAATGCTTTTGTAAAAGTCTGTTTCAGTATTTTCTTTTTTCTTTTGTCGATTATGGAGCTTGAACTCTGGGCTTGGGCACTGTCCCTGAGGTCTTCAGCTCAAGGTGAGTGCTCTACCTATTGAGCTACAGTGCCACTTCCAGTTTTCTGGTGGTTCATTGGAGGTGAGAGTCTCACAGACTTTCCTGCCCAGGTTGGCTTTGAACCGCAATCCTCAGGTCTCAGTCTTCTGAGCAGCTAGGATTATAGGCGTGCGCCACCGGCGCCCAGCTGTTTCAGTATTTTCTGTATTCCATTTTTTTTTTTTTGTTTGTCTCTTACCAGACCAGTAAACCTCCAGAGCACTTGAATTAGCCCTACTGCAGTTTGCTCTAGTGGTTCAGACCCTGAGACCAACCACAGTTTTTGGTGAACACTTTCCCCTTTTTTTTCTTCCACGTTATATAATTGAACATGTCATTTCTCAGAACTTCCCCTTTGCTAACCTTCTCTCTCTGGCTGGAATTCCATCCTGCCTAGCTTTAGGATCCATAAGGTACTCATTTCAGTGTGTGTGAGGAATCAGGATATTGGGTCATCCCAGGCTCTGTCCCCTTAGCCTGCTTCGTGACTTTTTACATTGTGGCTCGTTTTTGAGTTACTAATTGAGGAAATCATAAAGCAGTGCAGCATACCATAGGAAACATTCACAAAAACAGCCTGTGAATTATTAGAACACTTTACAAATCACTGCATTTAACAAAAGTTGCTGTAAGGTAACTAAAGCTGGATTTTATTGAGTTCTTTAACCTAGAGGGCCAAGGCTGTTCATGTGCATGAATTCCACTTTCTTATATGTTCACTTTTTTCAGGTCCTTTCCTGCTGCCTTGCTACCAGGTGGGCAGTCAGCCGAGCACTGCCATGTTTCACAGTGAAGAGAATGGGTCAAAAGGAATGGATCCTTTGGTTCTTATTGATGCCATAGCTATCTGTATGGCCTATGAAGAAAAAGAACTTTGCAAAATAGGGGAGGTGGCCTTAGCTGTGATATTTGATGTTGCAAGCATCATCCTGGGCTCAAAAGAGAGGGTATGTACATATTGAGGAGTCCTTTGGGAAGCTGCTAATTTAAAATTGCAGTGATGCCACACAGTTGGTTTCTTTCTCTCCAGGCGTGTCAGCTGCCCCTCTTTTCCTACATCGTGGAGCGCTTGTGCGCATGTTGCTATGAGCAGGCCTGGTATGCAAAGCTTGGAGGTGTGGTGTCCATTAAGTTTCTCATGGAGCGACTCCCTCTCACATGGGTTCTCCAGAACCAGCAGACGTTCCTCAAAGCACTCCTGTTTGTCATGATGGACTTGACTGGAGAGGTAGGTGATGGACCATGTGTTGTCGAGGAACTGGTTTCCTGGAAAATAGTCAGTTTGAGATGGTTTCACAGTGCCCATGCTGTAGGGGATCCTTGATACTCAGTGTGACACTGTGACTTTAATGCTAGGACAGTGCCTGATGCATAGAGGCTAGCCCAGAATGGCGCTAACATTGTTTGCTATGTGCTACCTAAGTTCCTCTTTTTTTCTTTTTAAAGAATAATTTATTGTTATTAAGGTATTGTACAAAGGGGCTACCATTGCATAAGTCGGGTAATGAGTACATTTTTCTTTCAGACAATGCCACCCCTTCCTTTACTCTCCCCTAGATTCCCCCTCCAATTCCTGCCCACAAGTTAGAAAGATCATTTTCCATGTAATGTATATACTAAGTAGCGTGATTGCATTTGTTTATCCCTCTCCCTGTCTGTGTCCCTCCTTTTCCTCTTCTCCCCCCAAAGGGAAAAAAAGCAAAAACAATATTGTTTATGATCCATATGTAGATTTAATTCATCCCTCTAGGTTGTGGTGGCCATTGCCAGCTCCTTAGATTGGCTAGTGCCAGGGTCATTTTATGTCATGATTTCCTTTCTGAGTGACACACAGAAATGGCCTTAAAGAAGTGATTGTGCTACTAATTCCCAAGTAGATATTCTTTTTTTTTTTTTTTGGGTCCGGTCGTGGGGCCTGAACTCTGGGCCTGGGCGCTGTCCCTCAGCTCTTCAGCTCAAGGCTAGCGCTCTACCACTTGAGCCACAGCGCCACTTCCGGCTTTTTTCTTTTTGCTTATGTGGTGCTGAGGAATCGAACCCTGGGCCTCATGCATGCAAGGCAAGTGCTCTACCACTGAGCCACCTTCCCAGCCCCCAAGTAGATATTCTGATGTAGATTTCTTCTTTATTTTTATTTAAAAAAATTTTTTTTTGTTGATGTTGATCGTGGGGCTTGAACTTTGGGCCTGGGTGCTGTCCATCATCTCTTCAGCTTAAGGCTTGCGCCCTACCACTTGAGCCAAAGTGCCACTTCCAGCTTTTTCTGCTTATGTGGTGCTGAGGAATTGAACCCAGAGCCTCATGCATGCGAGGCAAGCACTCTACCACAGAGCCAGCTTTCCAGCCCCTAGATTTCTTCCTTTTTTTAAATTTTTTAAATTGCTTTTTAATTTTTAATACGTTTTCTATTGTAAAAATACTATACAGAGGGGTTGCAGTTACATGAGCACACGAGCAAGGTAATGAGTACATTTCCTATCAAGCATTGTTACCTTCTCCTTTGTTTATCCCCTACCATCCCTTCCCTCCCACCTCCACAACTACAGTCCCTGGCTGTGGTAGGCAGCATCACCCCACTTTCCTTCTAAGGCCTCCCTGCTTTGCAGGTTTCCAATGGGGCAGTTGCTATGGCAAAGACCACTCTGGAACAGCTTCTGATGAGATGTGCAACTCCTTTGAAAGATGAGGAGAGAGCTGAAGAGATTGTAGCAGCTCAGGAGAAGTCTTTTCACCATGTGACCCATGACTTGGTTCGAGAGGTCACCTCCCCAAACTCTACTGTGAGAAAACAGGCTATGCATTCCCTTCAAGTACTGGCCCAGGTCACTGGGAAAAGCGTGACAGTGATAATGGAACCCCACAAAGAGGTGAGATTTCTCACATCCCTTTCTTCTCTTAGATTTGAGTTGTAAATAGTTTACAATTTTATGTCCATTTTACAGTATTATTGTGCACATTCTTTTTAACCTCAGATACATAAATAGCATGGTATGTTTATGACATTATTAGTAACACTACTAAGGGAATAGGAGGCTGATTTTCTGAGTCTGTATAACATAATCTGGTAGATTGTCTCTTTTTTTTTTTTGGTTGGTCCTGGGGCTTTAACTCAAGGCCTGGGTATTGTCCTTCAGCTTTTCTGCTCAAGGCTAGTGCTCTACCACTATGAGTAACACCTCTACTTCCAGTTTTCTGTTGGTTAATTGGAAATAAGAATCTTAGGGACTTTCCTGTCCGGGCTGGCTTTGAACCACGATCTTCAGATCTCAGCCTCCTGAATAGCTAGGATTACAGGTGTGAACCCTTACTGCCAGGCTTATTTTGCTTTGTTTTAAGAGAGGCTGTGCTGGAGCCTTAGTGTATGGTCTGCTTCTAGTCCATGAAGCACGTCCTACTTAAAAGGGATCTGTTGTAATGTCATCTCCTGGTTGTCATTCATGTTGACAAGGAAGGGTCTTTGCTTTTCAAGGAACAGTTGGTTATTGGTGCCCCTCCTCTACTTTCCCAGGTCCTCCAGGATATGGTTCCACCTAAGAAGCACCTGCTGCGCCACCAGCCTGCCAATGCACAGATTGGCCTGATGGAAGGGAACACATTCTGCACAACGCTGCAGCCCCGGCTCTTCACAATGGACCTCAACGTGGTGGAGCATAAGGTGTTCTACACAGAGGTAGGGGGGTGGTGGTGTGGATCGTGTGGATGGTGATGACTGAGTCCCATGCCTGTCTTTGTACATGAGGACTGGTCAGGCAACATTAAGAGAAGACTCAGGCAGTGATGCAGGTAATCAGCCGAGCGAGAGCGGGAGGCCCCTCAGTTCAATCCCCAGTACTAGCACACATACACACACACACAGTCTTTTCAAAATGAAAGCTAAAACAGTAAAATGAAAATAAAATCTTTTACCAGATAGGAATTGTGTATGTGTGTAAGTGTGTGTGTGTCTGCCATACTGGGGCGTGAACTGAGGCCTGGGCGCTATCTCTTACCTTTTTCGCTCAAGGCTGGTGCTCTACCACTTGAGCCACTTCTCCTCTTCCAGCTTTTTGGTGGTTACTTGGAGATAGAGTCTCATGGTCTTTTCCTGCCTGGGCTGGTTTCAATCTGAGATCCTCAGATCTCAGCCTTCTGAATAGCTAGGATTAAAGGCTTGAGCCACTGGCACCCTGCTCAGATAGCAATCTTTAAGGGAAAAATTGGTAGAATTCTATTTTCTGAGATATCAATAAAGAGAAGGGAAAATAGCAATAGAACATTATAATGCTTTAAATGTTAGATAAATGATATACACTTGGATGCTAAAATGCTTGACATTCAGCCTGCTTCATTATTATGCTTTCCTGTACTGGAAAAGAAGAAATACTACTCACTGCTCAAGTGTTTTAAATTATGATTTGTTTCTTGAGGGTTTGTCCAGGCATTGGGGAAGCAGTCCTGAAGAAGAGGGAGATGCACCTCCTATTGTGGGATTTGCAAGTTACAGATAAAGTGATCTTCTGTTTTGAGATAAATCATGGTATCAAGTGAGTGAGAATGTGCCTAAGAATCCACCAGTGAAATTACCAGAGTTCTGCTTTAGAAAAGGAGCACAGTCATATTTTCACACTTGTTCAGGATTTGAGTTTGGCTTGTGGGTTGTGTTACAGTGTGTGTGGCAGATTGCTGTGTCCTGTTATTTGCAAGGTCACTGTGTCTTTCCAGAAGTGGTGGGGTGGGTAACCTAACTTATTTCCTGTTGACAGCTCCTGAATTTGTGTGAGGCTGAGGATTCAGCTTTGACCAAGCTGCCATGTTACAAGAGCCTTCCATCACTTGTTCCTTTACGGATTGCAGCATTAAGTAAGTGAATGTAAATCAGAAGTAAGTTACAGGGTATAAAAGCAAAAAGGTAGGGCAAGTATCCTTTTTTGTTGTTGCTAATTTGTAATTTTGGCTTTTCTGTGAGCCTTTAAAGATGGTATCAAAGATTATGTTTATCAAGTGGTATGTGCTTATGATACTCTAAACTGGATTTCACTCTGTAGTAAACTCCTATTCTGTAATTCTCTTAGGCCTCTGGTGTTCTGGCTTAGGAGAATTGTCCTGTACTCCTTATAGGCTATTTTCACCAGACTCAATGTATAACCTTACTGGGTTTGCTGTGGCTTTCCTAGGCTTTTCAATGTGCTGGAAGCATTTGGGAATCTATAGTCTTTCTAGGAATATCAGTTTTCATTGTTTAGCATGAGAACTGTTCAGAGTTTAGGAGAATAGAACTTGAATGCAAACTGTCATTTTCCTTTTTGTGTTGAATACATAATAGAAGGATATTTTTTGGTAGTGGCTAGATGTTGCTTTAGTTTTTATGCATTTAATAAAATATTGTCTAAGATCCCTCCTCTTTTGAATTAGAGATAGAAGAGCTGAGAGGAAGACCCTTGATACCCAAGAATAAGAATGGGGGGGGAGGCTGGGAAGGTGTCTCAGTGGTAGAGTGCTTGCCTTGCATACATGAGGCCCTGGCTTTGATTCCTCAGCACCACATAAGCAGAAAAAGCTGGAAGTGGTGCGGTGGCTCAAGTGATAGCCTTGAGGTGAAAGAGCTCGGGGACAGTGCCCAGGCCCAGAGTTCAGTCCCCTCAAAAGGGGGTGGAGGGAAGGTGGAAAGAATGGAGTTAGAGGGTTCGTATACAAGTCAAAGTGATTGGGATACACCAGACTGTGACAGCTCCTCACTTTTATGGGAGTTCCTGTATAAAGGTTACTCTTAGGTACTTCATTTCCACTGGCAAGTTTGAGTATTAACTCTTGCTAGAATGTTTTCACTTAACTAAAATACAGAATTGAGGTTTGTCCCTCTTTCTTAATAATATTCACATTTTTTGAAGACATGAAGCCTTTATCACCTGATTAGATTATGGTAGTAGAGAGAAGTCAATGGAGATCTTTTCCCATATTACTTAGTAGTGTTTGAGAGATCATTCCCTCTTTACTTCAGATGTGACTGTTCCAGGTCATCCACGCTCTTTGTCCTATGAGGCTGTCTTAGAGACCTGAGGATCTAGAGGTGAAAGGTCGACCTTGACCATGGTTTTTCGGGCAGGCCATTGTCTCATTTTGAGGCAGTATTGAATCTGAGGCTGAAAGACTTTGGTCTTTCTTAAGTGCAGTTGTTAGGAAATAGGGTTAGTGACTCATAGTTGGTAGGATCTTTTAGGGCAGAAAATTGTTCATGTATTTTTCAGGTTACTAATGAAATTACACTGATTTCTCTCCTAAAGATGCGCTTGCTGCCTGCAATTACCTTCCTCAGTCCAGGGAGAAAATCATCGCTGCACTCTTCAAAGCTCTGAATTCTACCAACAGTGAACTCCAGGAGGCGGGAGAAGCCTGTATGAGGAAGGTGAGTGGATGCTAACCTCATTCTGTACACTTGTTTGGGTATCGCATATTATAGTCTGCCTGACCTTTAAAAACAGATCAATTCTGTTCCTGCAAGACATGGTTAATACCCTGTTTTCCCTAAGGGAAGTTGAGTGTGAATTCTAGTTCCTACAGAATCTTGGTTGCCTATTTTTCTCGAAACCTTCTCTTTTGTAATAGTTTTTGGAAGGTGCTACCATAGAAGTGGATCAGATTCACACACACATGCGACCCTTGCTGATGATGCTGGGAGATTACCGAAGCTTGACGTTGAACGTTGTGAATCGGCTGACTTCAGTTACTAGGCTTTTCCCAAATTCCTTCAATGATAAATTTTGCGATCAGATGATGGTAAGCTAAATGCATTTATCTCATACTCTGTAATGAACTTTGGAAACTGAAATTGTTTTTAAAATAAGTAATACATTCATATGGTTTAAAATGCAAAAGCTGCAAAGGGTAAACACAAAAATCCTTGCTGCACTGGGCGCTGGTGGCTCACGTCTGTAATCCTTGCTACTCAGGAGGCTGAGATCTGAGGATCGCAGTTCTAGCCAGCCTGGGCAGGAAACTCCGTGAGACTCTTATCTCCAGTTAACCACCAGAAAACCGGATTGGTTCTGTTGCTCAAGTGGTAGAGTGCTAGCCTTGAGCTGAAGTGCTGAGGGCCAGTGCCCAGGCCCAGAATTCAAGCCCATGACTGCCAAAAAAAAAAAAAATTCCTTGTTGCAAGTCCAGTACTTTTCCCTGAAGACAGCTAGTTAACCTTGGTGTCCCTCTGGAGGAATTTGACATGTAACATTATCTCACCAAAGGGATAAATTGCATACAGTCCTTGCTATTTCCATGAACACTTACTATTTCATATGAATATATAGTGCTATCCCATTGTGTTATTTGGTAGCATAGTATTTTATTAGTTGGGCTCCTAGACTACTCCCCAGAAGGGAACATTAGATTGTTCCCACTCTTTTGCTGCTATAGTTGGTCAGTGTGTACCTATTGCATGCATTTGTAGGGTAGAACTTGCAGGTCAGAAGGAATACATACATATTAACCCAAGTGCATTGTTGCGTGCTCTCTGAAGAGACATTGCCACTTTTGCCCTTCTGCAGAGTAGAATAGCACTCTTCTGTATGGCCCAAAGCAGGAACGTCAGAAATCCTTTGTGTTTTAGAGTTATTCAAGCAAATCATTATGCAGATAAAAGATCTAATAGTGTTTAGCATTGATCTCTAAGCAGATGAGAGAGGATTTCATGTGTTCTTTTTTTTTTGCACTCCATTTTGCTTGTCGCAAATAGCTTAATAATCATTTGTTAACTTAGGATTTCATTGTGCATCACTGCAAGTATGTATGTTTTTTTCATGCTTTTATTTCCTAAGTAGCCTTTCACTATTGATTTCACAGAGATACGGAAGGTATTTTTGTAGTACCCTGTTCATCAGCTGCAAATAAGAGTGAGATTATGTAGATGTAGAGATACTGTATTCAGAGTATAGATGTTCAGCACATAAATAGGGAAGCCACACTTTTTGATGTCATATACAGGTTCGTTGTATCTATAGATCTTCCAGTGAAGAATAAAGACCGCAACACAATATTGCAAGTGGTACCTTAGTAATAGATTGTAATTGAGAAATGAAGTGTTACAGTGGGATGCATTTCCATGTTGGACAGTATTTGATCCAACTCTCCAAATGTACTCTTCCTATGTAGTTCATTAACAGTTTGCATATGGGCAAGTACACAGGGTTCAAATAAGTGAAGTTATATCATTTTCTGATCAGAACGCATCAGGTACACCTGGGTCCTCCATCCTGTTAGGAGGCTCGGATGCTTTCACCACCAGTGCCCAGCCTGAAGTTTTTATATGTGGCTTGAGAAACTATCTGTCTCTGTCCTTTGTCAGCTGTCGTTTCTTGCTGCCTTTGCATGCCTGCATGAAGCTTTATTTTTTAAACCCTTGTCTAGTCCTTTGGATAAGTTGTTGAGTTTGCGGTTCATTCAGTGAGAACATTGGTATGCAGACTTTGTCAGTGCAGCTTGAAGAGAACTGCCTCTAGTCTATAGTTTCCAATGAAGGCCAAGAGTGTGGGGATTTTTGTCTCTGCTCTCCCTTCCTCCACCGAGGAAGCACAGCACAGTGCTCCCTGGCTGACCCTCTGCCTGCTGTGCTCTGCCAGGACCACTGCAACTGTGCTCTGCAGAGTCACACTCAGACATGGGTGCTGTTGTGATTTTCCTCATGTGACAATATCTTTGAGGTTAGCAGTTGACAATGGTGAATATTTCCCCTTAAGTTTTACAGTTTGAATTCTTTTTTTTTTTTTTTGGGCCTGGGCGCTGTCCCTCAGCTCTTCAGCTCAAGGCTAGCGCTCTACCACTTGAGCCACAGCGCCACTTCCAGCTTTTTTCTTTCTGCTTATGTGGTGCTGAGGAATCGAACCCAGGGCCTCTGCCATGCAAGGCATGTGCTCTACCACTAAGCCACCTTCCCAGCCCCTACAGTTTGAATTCTTACATTTAGGTCTTTGGTGCATTTTTAGTTCTTTTTTTTTTTTTTAGTTCATTTTTTGTATATGATGTGAGATAAGGGCCCAGCTTCAGAGAATTTTGTTAGCCTAGTTTATAGCCTCGCTGTGAAGGGTATCTTACCTTCCTCTTACTGTTCCTCAGCATGGAGCAGTGACCCACATTGCATAGTGTTCCTTGGCTATGTGAGTTTGGGAAGTACAGCTCTGTGGGTGTTGACAAGGACTTGCAAGGATGTTAAAGGCCTGGGAGCCTGTCTCTATTTTCTTAGCCTTTAAAAGTAACTTGTTAACTTTTTGTGGGGCATCAACATTCTAAAGAATAAATTTGAGCAATGCAGGATAGTAAGGAAACCCATTATTTGAGCATATTATTGTGGTTTAGTTTTAGGCTGTGAATGTGTCTGTGGGTTAGCTGGACACGGGGCTCCTGGATTGGCTAGCAGACCCCCTCCTTTCACCCCATGTACTTGCCCTCTTCCCACATGGAAAGGCTGCTGTTGCTGCCTGCTGCCACACCTGTGCATAGCCTTTGACATCCATGATGTCTGCTCAGCTCCAAGTGGCTACCTGCTGCATGTTGGCTTCAGGGCCCTCCCTCTTTCCTCTTCCCTCCATCTCTGGCACATTTGTTTTCTCCTTCCAGCCCTGTTTAGACATCACAGTCTCCTTAACCCAGCCCTCCCTAAAGTTGGTTCCTGTTCCTTCATGATGCTTACTGTGATTGTCTGTCTGCACACAGTATGTACCTTGTGTTGCTACTTCCTCACTGGGCTAGGAGTTTCCCTAGCACATCTGAGGTCTGCTGGGACAGTCGAGTACTCAGCATGGACAGAAATACAGGTCTGGCTGCTCCCTGTTATGTTAAGTTCATCCTTGCTGCTCACAGAACAAGAGCAGAGGCCAGTGAGCCACATTACTAGTGACATGTGGGCTACTGCATTTCTCACATTAAGTACAAATTAAAGATGACAATTTCCCACAACAAAGCAGTGGTGGGAAAGGAAGTGTTCCTATGATCATCAAGAAGAAGTTGTTTCTAAAGAATTTGTTTTCTCAACAGCAACATCTGCGCAAGTGGATGGAAGTTGTGGTCATCACCCACAAAGGGGGCCAGAGGAGCGACGGCAACGTGAGTAGCTTGCTTGTTTCTGGAAAAGGGCACCAGCACCACCACTGACAGCATCGAGCTAATGCTGGAGCAGTGCTTTAAGTACAATGCCTGTGTGAAATCTGATTTCCTGTGATTATTGTCCATGTAAATTGCTAACAGTTTCTTATTAGCACTACATTTTGCTTTTATTTCTCAATGGCTGAACATTTCTTTTTACATTTCTTTAAAAATTGATCTTTTGATCACTTAAATGTGGTATTTCTGTTGATATGAGAGTCTGGGAATCTTGAAATGTTAGTAAGTATTTTTCACTAGTCTTGCTTTTTAAAAGGTGTATTTTCTAGGCTGTTCTTGGCAGCTGCAGTTTACATGGTGGCGCATTCCTCCGCTCTTGTTTCCATTGCTTTTCATCACTCAGTGGTCAGTAAACATTTGTGTTTAAATTATTGTCTAGTAAAATGAACTAGAAGCTCTTTAAGAGTTTATCAAAGGATTAAGGAGAATGTAATAAGCACATAAACACTGGCATGTGTATTTTCTAGGTCTAAATTTTTCACCCCAGTTGTTTATCAGAAAATTTAGAACCTTGCACTGGTTGCTCACACCTGTAATCCTAGCTACTCAAGGAGGCTGAGATCTGAGGATCTTTGAAACCAGCCTAGGGCGGGAAACTCTTGAGAGACACTTAATCTACAATGAAGCACCAAAAAGCTGGAAATGGAGCTGTGGCTCAAGTGGTAGAGTATAGCCTTGAGTAAAAAGCTTAAAGGACAGCACATAGGTCCTGAGTTCAAGCTGAGGACTGGCACAAAAAAACAAAACCCTTATTTCTTTAAAAGATGCATGCTTCCTGCTGTTCTAAATGTCATTGCATATGTTTTACTTTTATGATGATGTCTCATCAGGGGAATTACAGTTTCACTAAATTCTGTGACCCCTCGTAACATTTTACATACAGCAGTATCCCTATTAGAGAATTCCTTACAGTTCTTTTCAGGCATAATTAATGTGACTTTTTGTCCTCCTGTGCCTATTTGTTTGATGCTATATTTCATCCTGACTTGGATTTTTTTGGCTTTATTATGCTTCGTTTTGACCATTTTGTATCCAGGTGTTGTTTTTTTAAGTATATTATCTTTCTGCTCCTTCTAAACAGCCAACTAAGCCAACTAAAACAGGATTTTAAACTTGTTAAAAGAAGTTTCAAACACTACATGACCTATTGGAAGGTTTGTTATTTATATATGCAAAAACAAATCATATCTTCATGTAAGAGAGCAGAGCATATTGATAAGAGCTGAGCTGAGAGCAGATGCTTTTTCTCCCATCTCTCATCTGTTAGGTGTTTGTGCTTTAAATTTTACTTTTTGTAAATTTTGAAATAACATCCTGTTGTCTGAAACACAGTTCAAAATTAACATGGGCAAATGAATGATTTCCATTGACTCAGACAAAATCCCATAAACTTTTGTAGCCCATTGTGTTTGGGGTAGTTGTGCTGGGGTTGGATGCATGTATGCTGGGATATTTTTACCATGCCATGAATCTACTGCCTGAACAGCAAGTTCCATTAGACAGTGTGCTATATTACCCATGTCTGAAATTCAGGACATGATTTATGGGGGTCCAAAAACAGGATGGCTGTGGTTTCTTTGCCTTCAGTCAGAGCTAGACCACTGCTCAGGTTTTTTGCTCCAATTAATAATGATACTGTTCAGGATAAGGAATAGTTCTCAGAAGGTAATTTATTCCTATTATTGTTCCCAGCGTACTTTGCTCTGTCAAGTCACCATACTTGGAAATGTTAAGTAGTTGACTAAAAATATAAATGAAAGCCTCCTGTTCAACTTAAGTCCATAATGACCATAGCTTTTCACTGTTTAGGGCTTTTTTTTTTGGCACTGAGTTTATAGGGAACAGCACATGTCCACCTATTATTCCAGTAACACAGGCACTCCTGTGTGTCTAGCAAAGTTGGTTGTAAGGACTGTAGCCTTATGGACAGCAACTCTGGTGGGTGATGTGGTAGCCTACTGTTGTTTGTGGGTGGGGCTTGGGCATGCCTAACTGATGGACACTACTACCTGATTCTTCTGACTAGTTGGGGAAGAGTGTTTTTCTTTTCTTTTCTTTTTTTTTTTTTTTTTT